TTTGATGTGACCGCATCGCCGTTAGCGATTCGCAAACATTCGTAAAAAAGCGATAATGTAAACGGCAATTTGTCCAGAGGCCAGGCGCGAGCGCGGCGGTGTATTACCCATACTAAACTCCTTACTTGAATGATCAAACGAACTTACCAAGTGAAGTTCGATCTAAATTATCCTGTTTTCGCCGAAGAGATTTATTTTACCATGTAGTACCCCTGTACGACAACCCAATCCGCACACAATATTCAGCGTAGTAGTATTAAAAAACAAAAGAGCGGGCAACCCCACCCCTACCACGCTGTGGGCTCGGTGTCCGAGCGGTCTCATTATATTTAGAGAAGAGATGACATTGACGTTTACCTCCAGGGANGTGCACTTTCTCGCGCGTGAAGCACTGAGAATACACAAAACGAAGTATCGCCATAATCATGGATGTACCCAGGGGAGGTGGAAAGAGAAGCCCCTCCCCCTAGAAAGATAAAACTACAATATATCTTATGTTTTGTCCATCAGGGTCTAAGCGCGAAGATCCTGCCTAAATCTTAACCCCTCCCCTCATCCCTGGCCCAGAGGCTGCTACATCAGAATCATCATAATTTCAGCCATAGGACGTCCACTAATAAAACAGGTCTCCTCCAATAATTTCCATACTGACCGGTTGGCCTGCATCCAGCCTACCTGCTACCTTTATAAGGTCATCGGTCCACCTTGTGGATGGACGTCCCTCGCTGCGCTTTCCAATGTGTGGCCACCACTCCAGAACCTTGCTGCTCCATCGCCCGTCTGTTCTGCATACTATGTGCCCTGCAGATTGTCACTTCTTTCACATTTATACAGGGTGTCCCGTAATGTAACGTCAAGCCGGAACTGGGTGTTGAGGCAAGTTATGCTGGTTATCAGAAAAATATAAAAAAAAATCTATGTGGCATATTTTCAAAATAATAGGCATTTACAAAAAATAAAAAAATTCTACTCCCGGTGACGGTCTTTTTACTCGTGTTGCCACAAATCTTCACTTTTTCCAAATTTTTTTTTTGGTATGTAACCCTGAATAATGCTTCTCTAAATTGTTATCAAAATTACAAAACCAGCTGCTCCAACTTGGATGAAAAAAATACATTATTCCCAAAAAAAATTTCAAAATAAAAATTTTGCCTAGTTTAAACTGACTGTACTGAAAAAAAAATGTACTACGCGAGTGTGGCAAGTGACGTCATAATTTGGCGTATTTAGTAAGGATTCCAAAATGGTATAACACTTGGTAAATTTTTGCTGTAATTGTCGACAATTTTTGTTTTTTTAAATAAATAAATTTTCCAGACTGGCAAAAAAGGAAAGTGAGAAAAACTGAAAAACTTAATTTCAATTTTTATTTACGGTCAAAGTGATAAATGTGAAAATTATGAATAATCGCCGGTTATTATGAATAATTACCGCATGATTTGGTAAATGTGATTAATATGAGGTCATTTATGTGTGTATAAAACTAAATAGGCGGCATAGGGGTGGCTTATTATGCCAAATTATATTAATATATGATATCAAAACGTTCAAAAGTTTGGCTGTACAGGAGCATGTACACAAGATGTTGTTCTCTTTTATGAAATTTGTTAGTACTAAGGTTGAATTATTAAATAATCACTGTTAAATGTGACTAATTTATCACTTTTACCGCGACTGTCGGTAATTATTCATAATAACCGGTTATTATTAATATTTCAATTTATCACATTAACCGTAACAAGTACACTATCCTTAAAATATTACACAATTAGGAATTTTTGCTTTCCAGTCATTCCAGTGGCAACACTTCTAGAAATTTAGTTTTTTGCAAATTTAGTGTATTAATTAATGTGAAATAAATAAAATAATATTTACCGATGGAATGTAATGTTGTCCTTTTCAAGATTTGATGTTTCAGATCCCTTCTTACAATTAAAAACACTGCAATTCACCATTTTTATCGCAGCACGTTACTCTTCAATAGTGACATTTGGAATATGTCATTGGTGGCGCTGCAACTAGTTTTTATAAACTGAGTGAACCACTGGTCTACTTACATTGCTAGAGGGGATTGCCTGTCAGTTCCACTCCTGTTATTTCTGCTCTCTGTTCAAAATGGCTACTGGGTAACATCTCGCATTACCTCGGAGCAAAAGAATGGCTACTGGGTAACATCTCGCATTACCTCGGAGCAAAAAAATGGCTACTGGTTAACATCGCGCGTTAACTTGGAGCTAAAAATGGGTCAAAGTTACGCGTCGTGTCACAACGCTTATAATAAAAATGTACGAGCACTTGCACAAAATAGTTGTTACAACCAACCTTTTGTTGGGTCTAATTCTCGTCACTACACTGCACAACTTAAAATAATTACGTTTTTTGTCGGTAAAAACGTCCTGGTGACGTCACTTAAGCATTTTTCTTATACTGCGTGCGGTCGTTGCGCGTGCGCACAAAGGAATGAGACCGCTCGGACACCGAGCCCACAGCGTGGTAGGGGTGGGGTTGCCCGCTCTTTTGTTTTTTAATACTACTACGCTGAATATTGTGTGCGGATTGGGTTGTCGTACAGGGGTACTACATGGTAAAATAAATCTCGGAGGCGAAAGCAGGATAATAAACATTCCTTTGCAACTGATTTTCAGGTTAAATACACGCGTTTTTGCATGAGCCGATCATTGAAATACAAATAAAATAAAATAAATATATTCTGATTGCTTTTAAGGAATGTCGCTACTCGTTTTTTATTTCTAAAATGATACAACCCGACGTGTTGCCTTCAAGCTTGTTTAAAGTTTACGCAATCATTTAAGCACCTTGGATAATTTGCAAAGCACCGTAATTAATGATAATTCAAAGATCGGCGGCCAGCGAGAACACTTACGAATGTAGGCTGATAAAATTTAGAGCAACTGCGCACGTTAGACTATTTTTGTAAGATAAAAAGAAATTATTTTCAGTTGAAAAAAAATTGTATGTTAAATGTCCATGAAATGCAAGATTTCAAATTTTATTTCTACACAGGACAAAAAAACTACGTTGATGTTACTTAGGCATTTAATACTGCAGCAGACTGATGCACTACGGCAGATATGCGAGAGGTTTGGCTGGTGTGTTTTAACATTAAATGCAGAATGAGATTGTAAAAGTGTAAAATGCACGAGTATTTATTTTAATTTTTTGCTTATGCATCGTAAGTCAACTAGAATAATTAACTGTTATTTCCTGTTGACCTCTTATCTACGTAAGTATACTTTTAAATTGATTTATTTGCAGTACACCGCGTACGCGGAACGTCTGATAAAATTATCTACATATAGTCACAGATAACATAATATCGAAAGAAAAGTGCATCGTACAATTTGCATTTATCAATATCTACGTCAATGATCTCAATGCTGGCCAGTCGCTCGTGTGTGGCGAGCGTTTGCGTGGTCAGACACCTCGGTGCCGTCGAATGTTTAAATTGAATTTCTGAGTACAGTCGACAGCCCATTAGACTATACATTGTTGTTGAAATATAGAACCTATTACGAGTATCGAAGGTGTCATAGTATTTATTTAGTAAGTTAAAGCTTGACATGCTCTACTACGAACGCTCCGACAGCCTACAGTCTAAATACCACCGATTGTGCAACATTGTATGGATGGCCTGAGCCATGTCCGATTACAACTGATTACACTGTTATTTTAACGCACTCCAAATATTGTATTTAATCTCCACTTAGTTTTACTAGCCTATTTACTTAGCCCAGAGCGCCACAGGACAGTTTGTCTCCGTTTATCTCCGAGTGTTCTCATTTTGATTACGCTCCTTTTACTAGATCATTTTATTACTTTTATTACAAGTAGAACGGTTTTGGTTAACCAAATCTTTTAAGAAACAAAAATCATAGGTAGGTATATTGATACGAGTAGCTCTCAGTCATAGAATACGATTTTTACGAGATGCAAATTCTTGAGATATGGCAGTTAGCATAGGTTAGCATTTAGCATGCTCTATCTAACGTATTTAATTTAATTATCAGTTCTCTGGTTACTGGTGAACTCTTTAAAAGTCTTTTACAGTTTATTTTGACCATTACATCTTAAACATTTTACTGCTATGGAAAGAATTTATACATCCACCTATAAAATGACGTAAATGCAAAAATATTAGACTTCAACTGATTATGGACGCACCTGTTCCCAGGTGGCGGCGAGAGGATGCGAAAGTGTTCTATTTTGAAGCCGGTTACTCATCGCAAAACTGTTTACTTGCGAACAGACGCCTGCTCCTGCCATTGACCTTGTCTCAACGTAAGTTTGTTTAGAAAAAATATATAAATGCTAATACGTTTGAAGCAGTCTGGAGTCAGCACGGAGTACGACTGTAAATAATATCGCGCCTTTGCAGCGCGACCGTCACGCACCGACTTGATTCATTCATGGCACTCATTCACTTCAGACACGATAACCATGGGAAAACTCTTCACGCACTCTACTGGTATTACGTTGATAAGGCTGAAAACCGTGTCAATCAATTCACTACTTGTGATTGAGCGAATAATTCAAGTCGTGCAAATGACAAGTTCGATGATAAAATACGCTTAAAATACAATATTTTAATATATTTATGGATCAAGAGCAGACACCAGCACTTCAAAATTGAACGATCTTGAGTCTGTATTATATAATGAAAGTAATAAATTACATGGGATTTTTGCTATGACGGAACACAATATCAATGATTTATTAGGTTTGCTTTGAACGTCAATAAAAAGTAGTAACCTGACTGTAGTAAATAGACTCTAGTTTTAAAGAATATTATCGAGATTCTAGATTACAAATAAGAAAATGCCTCAAAAACAGTGTGAAGTGGTAATCCAGAGAAACAAAGACCAAGATGTTATTATGTAAACTATGATAAGAGCTTTATTTTTGCCAGGCACTAATGCTCTATTTACTCTGGGGTACTACAAGATACTTTTCTTGGGACACAGTAAGCAAATCATCCATACCTACAAGGGTTGCCGTGCTGACTGCAAATGTCCTGCCTGGTGATGAGAATGGCTACGTCGTGGTGATGAGGGTTGGCGTCATCATCCGGGTTCAGTTGCTGCTGCCACCGGCAGAATGACGTCAGCGTGGTGTCGGCGTCACTCGTCACTTCCAAGTCAGGAGCTGCTCCTAGGTCTTCCACGAAGATGATCTTTACAACCACCACTTTGATGTAGTTTCCTATTGATGGATCCATGTAGAGCGATGACACCTGGTTTAAAAACAGATGTATAGAAACCTATAGTTTTACTTAGAGAATATCAGAATAGATACTGGTTAGAAGGTAATTTACGAGTACGTACCATGTTCATAATGGTAAGGAGATAAGTCTCTATGTTGTCTTCGTCGTGAAAGTCAGTCATGGACTTATCTGCTACCAGCAACACTTCTACATGGCGAGGCTTGCTCACTGACCGTGTTGGCCGTCTCTGCCTTCTGGGGTTGCCGCGACGATAGTTGCTGTTGTAATGATTGTTCTAGAACAACAAAGACATGTGTTAAAATCGTCAACTGCCAGCAATTAGAACCTTGTGTGGTGATGATGACATGAAAACTTACCCTATTTTGTCCTTTATTTTTATGTTGCTCAAGCTCATGATGATCCATGTCTTTGGTCTTCCACTGGTAAGGCGGCTGCTTCGTGGCGCAATTCTTTGATCGCCTACGTCTGTTTCGTCTATTTTTTACTCGTCGCAATCTCATATCATTGTTGATTTTTTTTCGGTTCCCGTTCTTTAATGCTGAGTTCTGTTCCACTGACTTGCTCTCTACTGAAATACTTTTAGACATTGCTTGCAATCGTCGTTGTTCCATTCGTAGCTTGGCTTGATGACTTCTGTACTCGGTAGGATTTCTTCTCATCGCTTCTAAGCGTCTTCGCCTTTCCTCCAAATACTCTCGCCGACGACGATCCATCGCTAGTCTATCCCTTCTTGCCGTGTCATAATACTTGTTTGGCTGATTTTGTGTGTATTTATTACTGCTAAATCTTTGAGTAGGTCTATCGGAATGTGTTCTCGTATCTACTTCTCTTTTGCCTCTATGAGTGCCTTGTTGCATCAGAGCAGATCTTTTATAAATGACATGAGGCCGTCCTTGCGAACTATCAGAAGATATTTGATTGGACGGTTCAATCCAATACTCCCCGTGTTCTGTTCGTAGGAGGCCTGCCTGTGAACAAAGATACATTGCGTGATTTATCGGAGAAACATCTGGATTGTTTTATCGAGTTTGTTGTGGTTACTTAAGCCCTTCTCTGACAAAACGCACAATATTTCATACTTAGCTTGCAGTTACATTTGTTGTCGGGTTTGTTCGTATTACGTGTAATTTATAGCGTGTACCTGTCAGCAAAGGGCCGTTTGTCTCGTTAGCGCTACATTTCCAAGACGCGAATTTCCCGCCATTTTGATAAACTTAATTGACGCATTGTCATCTATGTTTTCCAACGGAAATGAGTTAACATAAAATGCTGTTACATTTTATCTGATCTTATGAAGCTTAGATTGATATTCTATTTACTGAATTGAATCAATTTATGTGTTAATTTAGAGTCGATAAATTTTGAAAGTTTAAATTGATTGCTTCTTACTTCTTACATGCATTTGAACATTTTCTCTATGCAAAATTCATTCTACTGTAAAAGTATAACCTCGAGGTATGAAAAGGTTTGCAAAAATTGTTTTCAAAGTAACATTGAATGGCAAAACGTCCATTGAGTGGCAAACCGGTCTGGGCAGTTGTGGGTCAACAAATCTGCCGTCTGTTTGCTGGTAACTAGATAAATTGATTGATAACGAACCTGAGGCGGCTTTGCGCGAAATCTAATGGAAACTATTCCATCTGGGCAGATATCTTGATAAGCTTACCGCGCGCCTGATTGTACACAAGCATGATTTATGTACGATATTAAACTGCATTTCCCGATTATAAAATCGATTTCACTTTTGAGATAGCTCTTGCGAATTTAGTTCACATCCGCTTAATTGTTAACTTGAAGGTTTTATTGTACAAGTATTTGTTGCTTTATGGCACGCAGTCAAAGTAGGGGAGACTGGGTACGGTTGAAACAAAGGACGGTTGAAACAGAGCAAATATCTCGTAAACGGTTCCACGGGGAGTTAGGGGTCCTAGGGGAAAAAGAAGCGGACAACAGGTCCGAACACGAATTTAGTGCCTAAAACTTCCTAAGGCGTTGACGTTGTGTGCAAAACGCCATATTGTTTTTTACTGCCCAAAAGTAAGTATTTTTCTTCAGACATTAACGCTTATACCTACTACCTGTTCTTTTTATGTAAATGTATCGAGTGTGCGTTTGCGATTATAATGAAGCTTGTAGAATAAGGGCCAGTAACTATTTTTAATGTGTTATCATTAGTGTCGAAACTATAAAGTATATTTTACCAAAAGTGGGGTTGGGGACGGTTGAAACATTTTTTGTGGGTACGGTTGAAACAGGAAATTTATTAATGTTTATTTTTTGTAGATACCGAGAGTTTGGGTAAGGAAGATTTCCAGAGAGGAAATTGACTTAGTAAAGCATTAGAGGTGGTAAAAGCTAGAGATTCACTGCGGAAAGCGGCGGAAAAGTATGGTTTGAAAAAAAAAAAGATTTTCGTTTATTTTATTCAGAATTTTAATATTATTTTATCATCAATGTTTATTAGGTTTGGAAATATCATTTAGTTAATCATATTTCTGTTATTTTTTTAAATGTTTACTACTAATCAAAGGCTAATTAATGATTTAGAAATTTAATACTTAGACTGATTAATGTCGTCATGCAGTACTATAATTTTAATATTCGTATTATTAATGATAAATAAAACACGTTTTATTAGTACTTATTGTATTATTTGTATGTATTTCAACAGATCCCAATCGCTGTTTCAACCGCCCCTGGCATGGGGACGGTTGAAACAAAATTTCTTTTTTTTTAAATTGCGTATATTTCTATAAATAGTAACCCGGGAACTATAATGATACAGCCATATCATAGCTAAAACTTCAAATTTCAATTTCACGTATCGTAATCGTCACTTGGTTATTAAACAACAAAATTATAGACAATAAAAGCAAAATTGTTTCAACCGTACCCAGTCTCCCCTAAATATTCAAAGAAGTCAAGCCATAACTAATGGTGCTAATGTTGTTAGCGGCTATAACGTTTGCAATTTGTTTGTCTGGGCCAATATTAGCTAATATTATTGGTTTCATCAACAATAGCAGTAGTTTTATGTTATAAGGAATTAATGGCACCCAGATACAATGGCTAAGGTGAGCTTATCTCTAGAGTCATATATCTTTTCTTGGTCGTGGTGGCGATCTTTTTGTGGGAGTAAAATCAATCTTAAATCTAAGAAACTGAACAGGAATTGTGTTTTGGGTCAATCACATAAATATTAGTAATACCAATATGCGTGTAGTCGCAAGTCATATCGTTACAATGAAGGCGTGTGGCCAGCCAGTCTGCCGATGCCGCCGACCTTGCAGAGTGGAAGGCCCGCGAGAGTGTGAGAATATTTTAGCAGACGACTTTCTATTACCCAATACTTATTTTTGAATCGAATCGAATTCTTAACCAGCATGACGATGATGACGATGTATGCAATTGGATACGCTATGATTCGATAATGGTCGATATCGATAAAAAGAATGCTGGTTTACTATTAACGCAGTTCCTAACGATATTAAAATACCGTCGGAAGTTCCACGCCCGCATACCTAGTGATTGATAAGTCGACCGTATATTAAAAATAGAATTCATTAATTTGGAATGATAAAAACTAATAACCCCGACCAAGGTCACCGATTATAATAATTGGCACCAATGTGGGCGCATAGGACCAATTATACAAAACTTTCGATAGAATCTTAAAGCTAACATAGAGCATAAACTAATACATATAGAAGCGCCTACCATAGCAGGCATACAATGAAGGAAAACGTAAAAGAAATATTTATCTGTAACAGAAGCCAAGGAAAACATTACAAACAAGTAAGAAGGAATTTTTGTAATATTGTGTAATTCAAATTATACTGTTTTATAAAGGACCTACTTAATGAAATTCAACCAGTTAACATAACCTTAATGACATGAAGACAAAAAATAAAATAATTATTGTTCTGTGTATGATCTCGAAATAATAAGAACGTAGGAATGGGCAATGGCAATAATGAAATTAAATAAAATTCATTTAAAATTATTCCATTATGCAAATACGTAGTGTCTTCTCGCGGTGCTCATGAAATCGATTAATTTTTTATTATACGATGCTTATAATCCGGCTTTGCTTATCTTTTGATCTTAATATTATTGGCATTGTTTTACCAGGCCCGTTCTGCCCACACTTTGTTTTTTGAATGCTCAAGGGCAATTACAATCAAATTTTTTGCTATAAGTTTAGTGGTTGCATCGAACGTAACATCCCAACTAATATTATAAATGCGAAAGTAACTCTGTCTGTCTGTCTGTCTGTCTGTCTGTCTGTCTGTCTGTCTGTTACGCTTTCCCGCTTAAACCTCGCAACCGATTTTGATGAAATTTGGCATAGAGATAGTTTGAGTCCCGGGAAAGAACATAGGATAGTTTTTATCCCGGTTTTTGAAACAGGGACGCGCGCGATAAAGTTTTTCTGTGACAGACAAAATTCCACGCGGGCGAAGCCGCGGGCGGAAAGCTAGTCCTCTATAAACCTTGTTTTATGCGAAAATTGCGAAATTAACACTCATTGTTTTATGTGGCCATCAATATAAATGTAAGGCGTTTAAATTAGCTTCACAATTCAATAAATCTTAAGAAGCAAAACATTACATCATAAATGTCTTCTTAGCAAAATTGCAAAGTAATGACTAACCTCACTAATATTTGATGTCTTTTATTTTTACATGCATGTGCAGGCCATTGATTCCATCATTATCTAAAATTGACCCTTGCTCCTGAGTTGATTCGAAAATAATTTGCCAAAAGCTGTGTTTATAAATAAAAAAAAAAGATAAACGACCATCAACAAAAATGGCGATGTGTATTTTTAACGAACGCCTTTTTCAATTAATTCCTTTTCGGATTCGCATCTTAATTATAGCTATAACTGAACAAAAAAGGGTGAATGCCGCGGTATTAATGCATATGCAACAAAATAGAAGAGTGTGTTTGATTAATGGATCTTGACGTACCCACACATGGGAGGAAGGGTTGTCCAAAACCAGAAAATATTTTTTTATGTTCATGATGGGAACACTTAATATTTTCAGTTATACATCAATAATTGGTTAGTCCAAAAAGTGGTAGAGCTTGTTCCATGGAAAACAATGTAACATAGCATGAATATTTTCATAGCTCATCCATCATACGAGGGCGGCACTGAAAATTTCGGGAATCAAGGAAGTGAAACAACATTACTATTTAAAAATGTATTTATTGCTTTTTAAAGTATTCTCCGCGAAATTTGACACATTTTTCCATACACGAAACCAATCATTGAAGCAACCATTGCATTCGGAAGTTTGGGTCTCCAAAATGGCCGTTTTGTAGGCTTCCACAGCTTCTTCAGGTGATGAAAATCTCGGACCACGCAATTTATTCTTTATTTAAGGGAAAGTATAGAAATCATTGGGGCTTAGGTCGGGGCTGTACGGCGGATGGACTAATAATTCTATGTTTTCTTGCTCTAAAAACTCTTTTGTTCAGTGCGCGGTGTGAGAACTCGCATTGTCGTGATGGAGGATGATGCGGCGGTTGCAGTTCTCTTTACGGAGTTCAGAAACGACCTGTGGCAAACAAATGCTAGCATACTAATCTGCATTAACCGTTCTTTGTCCCCCAAGAGGAATAGTCGCAACATGGCCGGTTTTGGAGACAAACGTGGCCACCATTTTTTTTGCAACACTCCGTGAACGAACAATTTTTGTTGGCTTTAATTCATTTTCGAACACCCAAACTCGTGACTGGTTTTTTGTTTCGGGTTCGTACGCGTATATCCATGATTCGTCACCTGATACGATGTTGTATACAGCATTTGAGGATCCTGCATGTAATCTCCCGAGAGTTCTGACGCACCAAGTAACGCGAGCCGCTTTTTGCTCTTCACAGAGCGAATGCGGTATCCATCGGGAAAACAACTTTTTTACACCTAATTGTTCATGCAAGATTATTTGTATTTGACTCATGCCAATGTCTAAAGTTGCCTGAATTTCGCGGTATATCACATGTCGATCTTCTTCAATCAGCTTACGCACAGCATCAACGTTTTCTTAGGTGACTGCAGTTTTTGGACGACCTTGACGGGGATCATCACTGAGCTTGACACGTCCACGTTGAAATTCAGGAAACCAGCGATAAATTGTGGTTTTGGATGGGGCTTCATTACCAAATGCAGAAATCATCCGGTCAACACACTGTTTTTGTGTTAAACCACTTCAAAAGTCATAATAAATCATCGCTCTTGAATTTTCTCGAGTCAATTCCATTTTCTCAACGACTAAACAAGTTTGACAAGACCTTGTGATACGACCGAGAATCTTTTTTTTAAATAAATAAATGGTATACGATTTTTAAAACCCTGGAGTTTGCAATTAAATAGATTTTAATATGACTGGAACAGTGGAAATATTCCATTCCCGATACTTTTAGTGCAGCCCTCGTACTGATATTATGTACTAATAAGTACATATTTTCAAACGGCGGGATTTAAACCTACGCCTGACAGTGACGTTGTATGCGAACCAACGGGATCAGTGGCCGTCTCTACATAAATATTGACACATCTGACTTTTAATTGACCCATAAATCAAAATATTATGTAGTTGTAGTATTTTTATCAGCGTCTTATGCACCATTTAATCAATAATACATACCTATTTATCACGATTGCATCAGGCCATAAAACTGGAAAATACACTATGAAAAATGCAGTTTATGAACGTAATATTCTAATTTCCTTATTGACCGATTTTTTTATTGAAACGAGGAAAAGGATTAATGTAAGATCATTTTATGGTTTATTTGGAGTTCTTCAGGGAATATACTTAAATATTTATTTCGTAAGTAGCAACCCTGTGACATGTCATTCAGCTGCTCAAGTCCATTCATGTTAGTTGACGCGGTATTCATGGGATGTTTGCTGTTAGATGTGTGATCTTTGGAGCGTCCGTCACAGCGAATACAAAGTCTTCAGATGTGCATCGATGTATGTAACGAACGTTAAGTATATTATTTTTAGCTTTCGGAGAAGGACAGAGTTGTATTTATTACGTGCAAAAAGTATCGCCTAATCTGTGCAAAAAAGCAGGCAACATTTGAATAAAAAAGGAATGCCCATTTTAACTTAATTAAGCTGTAAAACAAGACGAACGCCTAGTTTATCAGGCACCATAATAGCCAATAATAATAGCTGTAGACTGTAATTAAGCGAAATAATTGTTAGATAATATCAGTTTTTTTGCATACATTAATTAACGTACACGTGACATAATATGATCAGTTACAAATGGGTGTGATTTAAATAAATTATCCTTATGCCATCATTGCTGGACGCGGGCTTATGTTCTTTTAATCGAGTGTTTCGGTTAATTTATTTAATATTCGGCTCGGAGCTTACACTGTGGTCACGCACTTAATTAATCAGTCGGTTATTTTATACTTATAAACATGCGAATAATAATATTCATAAGTACCAATATTCGATTTGAGCACCACATTACGAGTAGAATGTTACTCTTATTAAATTGAATGAACATCTTTCATTTCCATAAATAAATGGCGCGGTATCATCCTTTACTGTTATAACATTATACTCTTGTCGCTTTTGATTAAATGCTTATAATTAAAAGAGATTTATTTTAAGGAGAAAAAAAGATTTGTTTCATTCCTACCGCCCACAGGCGTAGTTAGGTCATAATTCTTTTTTGTGAAGCCGAATATATTTTAGATAATGTTACATTGATCGATCACCAACATCTTCGAATACGCGCCACCGTTAATTAATACTTTTGTGTCATAACACAAAAACTATTAGCTCCGGTCAATCGGCAGGTGACGCCCACTTTTTGCTAATTATTTGCATATTATGCAGATATATTTTGACTATTGTATAACATGCGCGCTAATTTTTATCACGATATCACCTGTCAGTAAACTGGAAATACGAAACTTGGTGTAGGTTTTGATTGATGTCGATTATAGCATATCAAAATGGCGAAACTATAAATATAAATTATAGCGATCAATAAATATTTCTAGACACTACTTTTTCGCAAGTGAAATCGTCAATTTTCTACAAATTCTGCCATCGCAGTCGTGAATATGTTATAATATTTTATAGGCTATAAATAAAGTTTGACGGCTAATCAACGGAAATCGATCAATCGATTTATGATTGAAAAATAGTATGCTATCTATGAATGACCGGCAAGTTTCACTTTCTTCGACCGGAAGACGCTACGGTGTTTTACCATCACGAGTTCACGACTCATAAATTTTATGTGATTAATGATGTGGTATCGAAATATGTTAATGTTCCTAGTACCTAAAGTATCTTTTTAAGGGCACTGAACAAGTTTGAAAAATGTAGGTACTGTCATTACTTCGATGCCATTCTTCACATTCTAACTAAAGTATCGTGAAAAGTGATCATATGAAATTGAAAATTTTAATACCGGAACCCTGTGCACGCGGGTTAATTCTTAATTGGCCGTTTTTATTGTAATATATTTAAAATTGATGAGATTTAATGATAATATCGATATGATTCTTGTCTTAATGCACAGCGTCTAAAGCTCAAATGTTATCAAACCTCCATTTGTTAAGGCCGTATAATGGAAGTTTTTATTACATTATTATTTTACAATATGAGCAATTATAATTTGCTTAACCTACAGGTTGCCCATTAGTATCATCTGCGTACTATTACGTTTGACCTTGTTCCTTTATAATCTCTGGCTGTGATTTATCTTTTAGTCCGTTTATTTATAACTGACAATAAAATTAACGAGTTCTTCTTGCGATCACAAAAAGTTTAGTCTTCTGGCTACAAATGCATAGTCTGGGTGGTCTATGCACTTTTTAGGGTTCCGTAGCCAAAATGGCAAAAACGGAACCCTTATAGTTTCGTCATGTCCGTCTGTCCGTCTGTCCGTCTGTCCGTCTGTCCGTCTGTCCGTCTGTCCGTCTGTCACAGCCGATTTACTCGGAAACTATAAGTACTACAGTGATGAAATTTGATGGGAATATGTGTTGTATGAACCGCTACAAAATTATGACACTAAATAGTAAAAAAAAGAATTGGGGGTGGGGCCCCCCATACATGTAACTGAGGGATGAAAATTTTTTTTCGATGTACATACCCGTGTGGGGTATCAATGGAAAGGTCTTTTAAAATGATATAAAGTTTTCTAAAAAACATTTTTCTTAAAGTGAACGGTTTTTTAGATATCAGCTCTCAAAGTCGTAAAAAGTATGTCCCCCCCCCTCTATTTTTATAACTACGGGGTATAAAATTCTAAAAAAAATAGAGGTGATGCATGCTAATTAACTCTTTCAACGATTTTTGGTTTGATCAAAGTATCTCTTATAGTTTTTGAGATAGGTTGATTTAACTGTTGCTGCTACGGAACCCTTTGTGCGCGAGCCCGACTCGCACTTGGCCGGTTTTATTGTTAGGATTTGAATTTCCGGAATGTTCTTTTTCCTCAAATAAAATCATACAAAGTAACATATTCCTTTTATGTGTGGATGAAATACCCAAAATTAGTAAAATAGAGGTTATTTTTCCCAAATTAGAAAAATATTACCTACGCTATGTAAATAAATACGAACCATTGCAGTGTATTAATTACTCATTATATCTAAAAACTTTCTTCGGATGGAGCCCGTTCAATCGCAGACCTTTGGTTTTACAAGTTAAGGGCGATTGTTTTACGTTACGCTTTATGAGTCTATTGCCAAGGCGGTGGTTTCGCTGGAGCTAGGCAAAGTAACCTCACAGCCAAGAAATTTAGGGTCTACCTAGTGGCCAATAAATTACAACGCACAGAGCTAGTACGACCACAAAGGTGGTTTTCCCTGGTTAGAGCCTATACCTTTGCAAGTCGTCGTCATAAGGCGTGTATACTCGTAATGCACCGCAAGTATACAGCCTCGTCGCAAGCGGCCACGCTATGTCGATACGCGCGTTTACAGCATATTAGTTGGTAAATAGTTACATTAGTTGTCTCTATAAAATATATTTTTGTTACTTACAAGTCCATCGCACGCCGAGAGCGCGATGCTAGAGGAAGGCTGCCCCCGGATGGCACCTGTATAGTGGCAGGCCGTGGCCTTAGGTTTCGGCCGCTCGCGCGTGCGCCCGCTGATCCTGTGCCGCTCTATGATCATCGCTGGTCCAACGAATGACACCGACGGCCTGTGAAAAAAAGTATTTCATGAATAAGTTGACAAAACAGTTTTGAGGCTGTTCCTTACAGGGTATGTTCGGCTATGATGTTCCGTTTCGGGCAGTACACCAGTAAGTGAGGAGAACTGACCGATCTTAGATTGTTTTTACATTACAAGCAAATGTTCTTTAGCCAGCCAGAGGACAGTTTCACCTTAAAACTTGTAATCCTATCTTATTAAGATCTTTTATAGCTTTACTTCTATATTTAAGTACATGTTAGTTTCCTATAAGATCCATTCTTGGATGTAACATTATGTAAATTTTCCCACTGAAGGAGCGCCTTCACAGCATCAATTGAAAATACAAGAGGGCACAGACAAAAGAAAACACATATCATTTATTTATATCTATGGACAGTAAAATTTACGATATACAACGAAACTAAAGCTATAAAAATATACATTCGAACAGACAGTCTATTGGCTATTTTTGCAAACACTTAGGCTGAGTCAAGGGTCAGCGTTCAGCCTTCTGCCGTTTTACGAGGAAAGAACAGTTTTATAGTTGCGTTTGTAAATATTTATAAGGTTGATAATGTAGTATGGATTTTACATTTTTCTGAACTTAATATTTCCTTGATAATAATTATAATGAATGATTAATAGGAATTGTAGCAACCAAGAATCCAAACGTTGTTATGCAACACATAATGGCGTAAGCAAATCTTTTCCTTATCAAAGATATGATTTTTAATATAAGTTGTTCAAGATTCCCCATTCACAGGATAACTTTATTTTACAGGCAACCAAAATGAATGTTATCTAGAAGGTAAGTTAGGTTTTTATACGTTAATTTCACGTTTAATTGCACACACTTTTTATTAGGGTTATTTTATTAATTTTAATCCTCGGGTTTCCCCGTAAATTACGACTTGATGTGTCGGTAAGAAGCACGAAACCCTTGTTTAATAAAATAAGATTTATTATTTACTTAAAATATTAAAAGTTTCAAAGTTTTCGTAAAATACACGAAAGTTATGAAAAGTCTTATTTTGAACTGAAATGTATTTATTGAATTATTTCTTACCTCAACGTTGAGGTATAGATAAAAAAGGATATATGATTTCAATAAGTCTCAATTTTCTCATTTCAATGCATAATGCTGAACATTGAAAAATGTGTATGGATAGCAATAAATCCAAGTCGGTTTAAGCGCATATCGGCCAAGGCATCTGTCCATAGCGTCGACCATAAAAAGTAGATTTCGCGCAGGCAGTCTGGCACACGGTCAAGATTTATCGAGCAGTACCACCGACGGCCTTAGATACCAAGAAATTGTGGAATGCTACAATTTATTAAGTAGAATCCTAAAAGGAAAATGACAGGCACTAGGCAGCCTTATTATGCTTTATTAGGAATTTGTAGGACCTTTTGTATGCTGTTGTATTCATATTCGTACAGTTAATTATATTTACTAAAGTTGATACTTATTACTAGTATATTTTTTTACATAATAATAATACATACCTACCTATGTGCCTGAGTAAATTGGTTTCTTAAAAAAATCTTAAACTGGGAAATAATTTTTCTTAGGTTTTTTAACGCAGAAAGAAAATTTCGTAGTTAGCACCTAATTAATTGGCGTTACGTCGGCAATCTAGCTCCAGACTGGCTACCGACAGACGAGCCGGTCAGTGTTTGACTCTAGCACTGAAAACTTGTTAATAAAATATAAAGCAGACTCAAACTGCATTCTCCTACTAGAAGCTAGACACATAAACAATCTAGATTTTTAGCGATGAATTACGATGTAACTAGGGGCTTATATTTATTTTACATTTGGCTATATCCGCTCGTAGTCATTAAATATTTAAACTGTAGGCTGTGTGGGTAGTTTCAATCAATCTAGGAGCATTTGTTGCATTTATGTAAAACGAGCTAGAAGATAGAATTGTGTATATTTTGAGAGTTGTAAAGTTTTACAAGTTTATTCAACTCCCGCCAAGAGAAAGCGCGGCTAGCGATGGGTTTGTGATTTCAGAGTAACCTGCATGAATACTTGACATAGAAGCCTGTTTGGACAATGAGCCTTGGGCGGGGTGAACATCGGCTGTCGATCGGCGGCAAACACAACGGCGGCTAAGCACACAGATAAGGCTCATTATGGCAATTAGCGGAGGTAAACATGGCCGCCCCAGTTGGGTCGTGTTGACACAAATGTTGATACGCGCGGACGGATCACTGTCACCTATCTACCTATAAATTATTAACTACAACTTGTAAAAATATCAATTTTCTTAGGGTCTATATATGGGATCAGTAAATTCAGTAAAATAAATTAATAAACATCTACACATAATTAGGGTCACTGTCCTGATTTTACTAAAGTGTTGATATTTCTCATAAAATTTTAATTCAGCCGTGAAGGTATTAGAAGCCTTGCGCTAATATTATGATTAGATAACATAAATAAATCGATTTCGTGTACAATAAATCAGTTCAAATATTGAATCGATCCCACTTAGCTGTGTAAACTTGCCTTTGAAAGGAAGCCCGACGAGACGAGTTCCAGTTCATGAATAATATCAAATCCGATGATAATGGCACGTAATTGCAGTCTACACGTACGATGCTACAAATTTCTGACCGGCCCAATTAAGTTGTTTATTTTGAGAAAACTTTTTGTTACGATATCTCAGCCGTTCAATCATTCGAATGAACTACATTGCCATTTTACGGTCGTCTGTATCGTGTTAGAAATCATAACCATTCATCATGGGCGGAGTATAAAGCTGATTATGTAACAATTTATGTAAAAGCGCGGTCGGACATTAAATGTAACGATTTAGAGCCTATACCTGTTAGTACCAATTAGGGTGGGTGTAACTTTTATAGTTGGTAATATCCTTATATGTATGGCTAGGCGACACCGGCGCTGCTGCAAGACCTCTACCTCTACAAGATAACTGGACAATTACGACCTAACAGCCGCGATTAGCATGCTAATATCTATAAAGATAAAGCCATAAGCGAATTAACCCTTAGAACCCCGTAGTTTAAGATTGTGGTCATTATTTGACCTTGACCTTTTTCGTACGTGGAACGATTTGAGAACAATTTACATGAAAATTCTTGTTGGAAACGTAGATAGATACTTATAGTAATAAAATAACTATAAAAAATTTATATTTTATGGTTTTTAATATAAAAGGTACGTCAGGATCAAAGAAAGAACAAAAATATTAATGATTTGCGGTGTGACCACATCGTAACATTCAGTTCCAGCATCCTTTAAACTTATTTACAGCTTTTCTAAGAACCAAAAGGTATTTCAGACGCATATTTTACCTGTTGATTAAAAAATAAAGGACTAACTCAAAAAAATTAAAGGATTGCCTTACACAAAAAGCTATTGACTCGAGCAGACAGGATATCGCACACCTCGCGCAGTAACATGTTGAAGCAAACCACAAAATAAAGAAACTAAATCTTGGTCCTTTTTCGAACTTTGCTTCAATGTTGGGTTCAGCAAGGGTTGGGTAGAGATTTAAGAACGGTCGTTGTCTTTGGCAAGTCTTGTACCGTATCTTAAAGGAATTGTCGACGAGACCATTACAATGAGAAAAATGTAAATTTCGATATAACTTAAAGACACTTCGCTGAAATTTCACACGTGCTAGTTGTTATAGATCACGCTCTACCTGTTACGCGTACCTCATGCATTGATGCATGAAAGTAGTGCGGTTAGTGTCTTGCGGGCCCTTTATTTCGTTGTGACGTTTTACGAGGTTATTGCACCCAAGGCGTGGTCTCGCTCACCCTTAGCAAAACTTGTTCAAGACAAAACTTTTAGAATAGGCTTTAGTTTATTTAAATGTGAATAGATAAATTAGTCTTATCGCAACATAATAAGGTCTAAAAGGCTGATTGTATTGTCTAGCAGGCATACTGGCCTACATTGCCTGGGAGCACAAAAAAGAAACGTGAGAAAATTTTAAGAAAAATATTGTACGCAGGAAGGCGCGGTGGTTGCAAATTTGCAATTTTACGCTTCTGAAACAATTGCCGAACATAATTCTTCGTACAAAAATTCGAAAATTACCTACCTTCGAAAGCGCGATGCAGGTACGAGTATGAGATTGTGTAAAAGAGTGTGGCGCCTGTTGCTTGCGACTCGAGTATATTGCGAGTAGTCGATTTATTTTCTTAGTCTGAGTTAGTAACACATTTTACTTTCATGAATGATTTAGTATTCGTAGTGATCTCATTTTAAGTAAAATACCTAAACTGTCTGAGAGTTCAATTTCTCTACATTTTTAATCATATCTTATAAGATTATCAAATTCTATCGACGCAGACAACATGTGTTATTACATTTTTCTAGTAAGAAAACCTGGTAGACATTCTTGATTGCTAACAAGATAGTCTCTAGTTTCTGATTATTGTCTGTATTGACGTCAGAGGAACGACAGTAAAACTTCACTCAAAAAAACTCCTTATGAGTTTTATTTTTCGTAGAACATACTACCATAGCACATCACTAGTGTGTAATGTAAATTATTTTGAACCTAACGACTTGGCACGCTCGGCCTGTCTGATCCGGCCGCGTGCCGATGCGAAAATTTATCGTCAGCGGCGCCACCTCGCGCCCATTACTGCATTTCGGTGCAATTAGTTTACTGCCTTTAATCGGAATAATATTATTTGGAAATATCGAGTAACTGTCATTTGGTAATCGTGTTCACAATCGCCGGTTCGCTCGAGCATTTGGCTTGTGTATTTGCAATGTAAAATGCCTTCCTAAATATCTGAATGGCAAGCATACCCTAATTTCATTCTTCGTGTTGAAACTGAATGCTTTCAATGGTTAAAAATAATTGGAAACTTTAAGGTAGTAGGTATTTCATATTTGAAATTAGTTCGTAAAAGTTTTAAAAATAAAATTTATTTATTTTCAAAAAGTTGCTGCTCAAGCTGAAGCAATTTGTGTAAAAATGTAATTTAAAATTAGGCAGATACACTGCATTA